TTCTCCTTCTCTTGCTTCCCACTCCCAGCGCCCCTGCGCTCTCCTGCGACTTTAGGATTGATTCTCTCTCTCTCTCTCTCTCTCTCTCTCTCTCTCTCTGTGTGTGTGTGTGTGTGTGTGGCATTGTTCTCCTTCTCTTGCTTCCTGTTCACTCCCCCAGCGCCCCTGCGACTTCCAGCACCCCTGTGACTTTAGGATTGATATTCTGTGTGTCTGTGTGTGTGAGAGGGATTGTTCACTTTCTCTTGCTTCCCGTTCACTCCCCCAGCGCCCCTGCGACTTCCAGCGCCCCTGCAACTTTAGGATTGATACTCTCTCTCTCTCTCTGTGTGTGTGTGTGTGAGAAAGAGAGGCATTGTTCTCCTTCTCTTGCTTCCCGTTCACTCCCCCAGTGCCCCTGCGACTTTAGGGTGACTTTAGCATGGATCCACATGGATCCTCAGGATTTTTGCATTGGGCTACCCCAAACTCACCGTCAGATCACATGTCTGTGGCCACAGCATGAACCACAAAAATCATACATCCACTGTTTCATTTAGAATATTTTTTTCTTGTTTTCCTCCTCTAAAAACTACGTGCGTGTTATGGTCTGGTGCGTGTTATAGAGCGAAAAATACGGTAAATACAGTAACTTTGGTGACTATGGACAGGCCTGTATCACCAGGTGCTCCTGGGCCATCTGCTAGCCCCAAAGTAACTTCTACTTGTCAGCTCCTTGGACAGGAGACCATGTGGGAACCATATTGAAGCTACTCAAAGCTCTTCAAAGTGTAAGCACGGCTGATAAATAAAAATAAATCCCGACGAGAAACCCTGACATCTGGCCTGCGCGCTTCATAATCCACGGGGCAAAAATGCAGCCCATCAGCCATTTATGGTGGACCTTGGAAAATCTGGCGCCCTGCTTGGAATTACAAAAATGGTGTGTGCGCAATTTGTGTTCATTTGACAACTGTGAGGGAGGCTTGACCTGCCGACGAAGAGAAAGGATTGTTTCAGAAGTATGCCTGTGTTTAAACTGAAGGGAAGTCTGGCTGCTCAATTTGCGTTAAGCTCAATAACAGGAAAGTACAGTGGTACCTCGGGTTAAGTACTTAATTCGTTCTGGAGGTCCGTTCTTAATCTGAAACTGTTCTTAACCTGAAGCACCACTTTAGCTAATGGGGCCTCCCGCTGCTGCTGCGCCACCGCCGCGCAATTTCTGTTCTCATCCTGAAGCAAAGTTCTTAACCCAAGGTACTGTTTCTGGGTTAGCGGCGTCTGTAACCTGAAGCGTATGTAACCCGAGATACCACTGTAGATACAACTATTTTTATTTCTTTTTAGTTACAGAAACATTTTAGTTTCCTAAGGTTGCAGAGAGTTGTTCAGAAACCTTTATTCCACTCCTAGAGTGGTTTAACAGTCCATCTGTCTTCATAGGGAACTCTGGAAATTGTAGGTCTGTGGGGGGTACCAGGGCCTCCTAATAACTCTCAGCACCCTTAAAAAAACTACTAGCTTGTCCCTTGCTAACTGTGGTACAAGCAAGGGTCCTTGGTAACCACAAGGAAGCATGCTTTTTTGTCTCTCAGGGTCACAAAAACCCAGCAGCAGAGGAGAGTGAATGTGGGGGCCTGTGATTTATACATTCATTTCCTCCCTGACCCAGAGCTGTAATTATAATAATGTCCTATCCTGTCATCAGCATGTCCAGAACTTCCGTCTCCCAATCTCCGCAAACAGGAGCGGTGGTAGAAATGCCAGCACACTCTCAGCAAATACCACAGGGGCAAAGAAGTTAATAGACACCGCATTTAATGCACGAGCAACTCCCGGTGCCGAACACAGCTGCAATTAGCAGCAGGGAGAGGAACAGCGTTACCATTTACTCTCGCTCCAGTGTGCTCCCACTGCCGCTGCTTCAAGCTGTGTGCGCATGACGTTAGCCACAATCCATACCTATCCTGTAATTTCTTGAGAAATACGACAGTCTGGTGTGTCTTTCCTCAACCCAGCTTCCGCACAATTTGAAAACATAAGCCACACTAACTTCAGAGTTCTTATTATTTATTAAACCTATTCCTCATTGTTTTCCTACCAATATAACCCAAGGTGACCCACAACAATAAATAAATAACAGTAAAACTGCCATAAAACAAAGCACAGAAGAAGCAAATTTTTAAAAAGCGGAATTAAAACACCCCACCCACTGAAGGGGACCACAGATAATTAAAAGCCAAAGGCTTGGCAAGAAAGAAATGTTGGCTGGGGGCATTAACAAAGAGACTGCTTTGACAGCTTCAGCAGACTCTTTTTACAACAAGGGTGGGGGATAACCAGTCTTGGCCCACTGCAGGGCTCAGGTTAGCATGTGAGCCCATTTTCTCTAGCCATGCCCACAGTCCATCAGTTTATAGGCAAGAGGGTTGGGCTCAGCCCTGCTGGGTATTACAGTACTTGGGACACTGCATCCCCTGTGCGGAATGCGTTGTCAAAGCAGATCCCTGCAGCCAGCAGGATTCAGGGGCAAAACTAGGCTTTATTTCAGCCGGGTCAAAGACACAGTTTGGCGCACACACACCCCATCTGCAAATTTGCTTACACACACACACACACACACACACACACACACACACACAGAGGCTGGGGGCCTCAATGACATCCCTCTGGAGGCTTCACCCAGGGCAAAAATAACCTGGCTACCCCCCCCCCTCCAGGTACTGCTCTGCAGGATTGAATCCTCCTCTCATCAGCTAGATAGCGGAGTGTTCAGTCCAGCTGGGTGCTGCTTTGCCAGTGTGTTCCCGGTGGAGACTACTCTGGCAAGGCAGATGCCCTCCCCTCCAGACGATTGACAGGTGGGTGGCTCTGTGGGGGTTCAGAAAGATTCAGATCTGTCCTGTTCTGCTAGCTGCCAAAAAGCTTCCTCTGTTCTACATAATCCCCTCTTGCAGATATAAAACCAGAGATTTGGAGGACACCTAAATATGCCCCTCCCTGTCCTATAACTTTTCTTTAGGGTTGGGCCTTGTACCTGGCTCTTAGTTCATCTTGGTTGTACACAATAATAATTTAAAAACTCTTTCAGGCAACTATTAATTCTTTTCTTTTGTATAAAATTTTCACACTCGTGGGTGACCGACTGGAACCAAAAAAGCTCAATAGTGGGTTTTTTTGATAATCAGCTTTGGCAGAGTGTGGCACAGTGCAGAATAATTTATTGCTGTATTCATTGGCAAAAATGTGGGCTAGCCGCAAATTGTGTCCCTCTTTGTTAGTGATGTCTGTTACCTGGATCTGCACTGCCATAAAATCAAAACGTTTTTCCTTTGTTAAATAGCTTGCAAATGGAATAGTGAAGAAGTGGAAATTTATTTGACACTAGTGTGCCACCATGTGGTCTTCAGTGAAAGAAAAATAAAGATTTTAAAATTATGTATGGCAGAGGAAATAGCTGCTGTGGCTTGTCTAGGATATTTTGGGTTGCATCCACGTGGTCCGTTGGTTGAATTTCCATCCTGATCTGTTTGCCCAAAGTTTGCAGGGAGATTGTAAGAGGTTGGCTGCTTATTCATTTGACTTATAGTTGCCATATTTTGAAGAGCAAAAAAGACACATTAGCCACCTTCTCCTATTAACTATGGATCACTATGACGACTCTCATTTTAACATACCCATGAAAAACAGGATGTGTCCTGGAAAAAGAGGACATATGGCAAGCCTATTTGTATGCAGGTCACCTGTTATCCCACACTTTCTAGTACAGTAGTACATTCCCCACTGAGTTCCTTACTGCAAAAAGGGCCATTTTTATTTCATTTTTAATATGTTTATAGCACAAGAACAAATCCAATTTAATTGTGCCCCCTCAATTCATTGAATTCCACCAGCAAAACTGCTACAATCGAGACATGACATAACATTTTATGCTATCAGACCAATAGTCCATCTAGCTCAGGATTTCCTCTGAATATCAGTTGTTGGGGATCACGACTGGGGAAAGGGATTTTCGTTCTGCCATGCTCTTTGCTTATCCAGATGCCTCTGGGAAACCCACAATCTAAGAACAAGATGCTGGACTAGACAGACCGTCAGTTTGATCCAGCGGGGCTATTCTGGTGCTCGTTACTCACCAAATGACAAAATAAGGATAAAACAGCAAGAATTCATCAGGAGCAAGGACTACAAACCAGAGGTCAGTTGGAACATTCAGTATGTGTGGAATTGTACGTGTGCTTAATTAGGAGCAGCCTTTCTGAGCTCAACAGAACCTGCTTGCAAGTATGCACAGAATTGTGCTAAAGGAATTTGGTGGCAAGTATGCACAGAACTGTGCTACAGAAATTAGTTGTAAGTATGCACAGAACTGTACTAAAGAAATTTGGTGGCAAGTAGATAAATAGGTAGGGACGCGGGTGGCGCTGTGGTTTAAACCACAGAGTCTAGGACTTGCCGATCAGAAGGTCAGCGGTTCGAATCCCCGCAACGGGGTGAGCTCCCGTTGCTCGGTCCCTGCTCCTGCCCACCTAGCAGTTCAAAAGCACATCAAAGTGCAAGTAGATAAATAGGTACCGCTCCGGCGGGAAGGTAAACGGCATTTCCATGCGCTGCTCTGGTTCGCCAGAAGTGGCTTAGTCATGCTGGCCACATGACCTGGAAGCTGTACGCCGGCTCCCTCGGCCAATAAAGTGAGATGAGTGCCACAATCCCAGAGTCGGCCACGACTGGACCCAATGGTCAGGGGTCCCTTTACCTTTTTATGCACAGAACTGTGTTACAGAAATTAGTTGTAAGTATGCACAGAATTGTGCTAAAAGGAATTTGGTGGCAAATATGCACAGAACTGTGTTAAATGCACGTTACTTAACTGCGTCTAACCAAGCGGGCACCATATGCTTCTCTTCTCGAGGGTAAGCGCAACTGGACCCAAAAGCCTCTGCAGGCCTCCCAGAACTCAAAGCGTCGCCATGGCGACGAGCAAGCGTCTCTCCGAAGGCGCCGCTCGGCACTCGACTCACCCCCTGTCTACGTGGCTCGGCGACTCGGCTCTGCGGGCTGCGCGGCCGGCCGGCGCATGCGTATTAATTCGGCTCCCCCGTCGGCGTGCCGCTCAGGTTTTCTTTTGGTGTGCGGCGGCCGCGGGGAGCGAAAATGGTGAAGCTGACGGCGGAGCTCATCGAGCAGGCGGCGCAGTACACAAACGCCGTGCGGGACCGGGAGCTGGACCTGCGCGGTGAGGAACTCGGCCTGGCGGTGGTGGCGGCGGCGGCGGCCTGGGAGCGGGAAGCGCGCGGCGCTTGCTTGGCCTTAGTAGGCCTGAAGCGCGCGGGCGGTAGGCAAAGCGGGAGGGGCAGCTGAGTCGGGGGACGGTGGCTCAAGAGGGTCACGTTAGGTGGCCCACGTGGGTCGCGCCGCCCCTGTCCTGGAAAGGGTGTGGTTGGCGTACCTGTTGCAGCTGGTGGTAATAGGAGCCCAATGCTGCAGAGGTCACCTGGGCCTTAAGGAGCAAAGTTGGTTCGGTGGGCACCCCCAAAATAATGGACAGAAGAAGACGTAAGAAGAACCCTGTTGCATATACAGTGGTACCTCGGGTTAAGTACTTAATTCGTTCCGGAGGTCTGTTCTTAACCTGAAGCACCACTTTAGCTAATGGGGCCTCCTCCTGCCGCTGCGCCGCCGGAGCACGATTTCTGTTCTCATCCTGAAACAAAGTTCTTAACGGTATGCCCCACGGAGAGCCTCAAGGTCCATAAATAGCAACACCCTAGTGGTCCCGGGCCCTAAGGAAGTTAGATTGGCTTCAGCCAGAGCCAGGGCCTTTTCAACTCTGGCTCCGGCCTGGTGGAACGCTCTGCCTCATGAGACCAGGGCCCTGCAGGATCTGATTTCTTTCCGCAGGGCCTGTAAGACAGAGTTGTTCCACCTGGCCTTTGGCTTGGAGCCAATTTGATTCCCTCCCCCTCTTTTTTCTTTTCCTTTCTCCTCCTCCGATGAGGTTTCAATATATTAATGTTGTATTTTAATTTTGTTTTTAAGTTGTATTCATTCAATTTGTTTTTATTATTGCTTGTTAGCTGCCCTGAGCCCGGCCTTGGCTGGGGAGGGCGGGGTATAAATAAAAATTATTATTATTAACCTGAAGCACTATTTCTGGGTTAGCGGAGTCTGTAACCTGAAGCGTATGTAACCCGAGGTACCACTGTACTGTAGATAGGTAAAGGGACCCCTGACCATTAGGTCCAGTCGTGGCCCACTCTGGGGTTGCGGCGCTCATTTCGCTTTATTGGCAAAGGGAGCTGGCGTACAGCTTCCGGGTCACGTGGCCAGCATGACTAACCTGCTTCTGGCGAACCAGAGCAGTGCATGGAAACGCCGTTTACCTTCCCGCCGGAGTGGTACCTATTTATCTACAGTGGTACCTCAGGTTAAGAACTTGATTCGTTCTGGAGGTCCATTTAACCTGGAACTGTTCTTAACCTGAGGTACCACTTTAGCTAATAGGGCCTTCCGCTGCCACTGCGCCACCGCCACGCAATTTCTGTTCTCGACCTGAAGCAAAGTTCTTAACCCGAGGTACTATTTCTGGGTTAGCGGAGTCTGTAAGCTGAAGCGTCTGTAAGCTGAAGCGTCTGTAACCCAAGGTACCACTGTACTTGCACTTTGACGTGCCTTCGAACTGCTAAGTTTGCAGGAGCAGGGACCGAGCAATGGGAGCTCACCCCGTCGCGGGGATTTGAACCACCGACCTTCTGATCAGCGAGCCCTAGGCTCTGTGGTTTAACCTACAGCGCCACCCGCGTCCCGTTGCATATATATACAGTCTCTAATAAGAGGCCATCCACACAGTTCCAGGAAACTCAAAAGGAGCTAATGAAGACCCTTACACCGTCATGTTTAGTATTCATTTTAATTTATTAAATCTCTATATCACAGGGCAGATCACAACATAAAAATGCAAAATGGGAACACAGAATACAAACCAAAGCGAAACAAAAACACCTAATAACCCTCCCTCCCACAAGTATTTGGCATCTAGAGTGATTTCTTAAGAATAGAGCTTTTAATTAGCTGTTGCAGCTGTTAACTGTTGATGGAATTTCCCTCTGTGAGCCTGCTTTTTTAAAGCAATTTAAGAGAATGGCTATTACCACAAAGGAAGCTGTCATATACTGAGCCGACCATTGGTCTATCAAGCTCAGTGTTGCTTCTACATTGACTGGTAGTGACTCTCTAGGGTTTCAGACAGAAGCCTCTCTGAGCCCTACCTGAGTTTTCCAGATATTAAACCTGAGACCTTCTTCAAACAAAGCATGTGCTCTACCTGTGAGCGAAGGCACACCCGTTATTTAACATGACTTGTAGCAGTGAGAACTACAAATTAGTATTGAGTGCTTTGAAGTACTATTTTTTTCTGCCTATCCTAAAACTGCTGGCACGCAATTTCACTGAGTAACCCCAAGTCCATCCTCTCAGAATTGTCAGGATAGTTGTAAGAAACACTGACGTGATAGTTTTCTTTCATATGTCGTCTAATGCATAACTGAAGTATATATTTCTCCTGCACTATAGTTTGTTTGTTTTTGTCCCATGTTGCATCATCAGGATATAAGATCCCTGTGATTGAGAACTTGGGTGCTACCTTGGACCAGTTTGATGCTATCGATTTCTCTGACAATGAGATTCGGAAGTTAGATGGGTTTCCTCTGCTGAAAAGACTGAAAACATTGCTAATGAATAACAACAGGTTAAGGTGAGTGTCTTTCCAACTTCAATTTTGAGATCTCTTTGGCTGCAGTTCTCAATACTCTACTTCTTGTACCACTTATTCAAGTCTAAGCTTAAAAGCAGTTGAAGTTTGGGGAAGAGGACTTACAACTTCCAAGATAATAATTATTCTGATGGCTCCCCCCCCCCCATTTTATTTTATTTTTAGCCGAATAGGTGAGGGACTTGAACAGTCTTTACCAAATCTCAAGGAGCTCATTCTTACCAACAATAACATCATGGAATTGGTAAGTGAAATAAAGGATGAAAGAAATTGGAATGATTGAATGACATACACGCAATCACTAGGAAGGCCCCAAATTTTCTAAGATAGGGTTTTCTTGCCTTTTTTGATTACATGAGGCAACTTTCTCAGTGAAGATTTTACCCATTCTGACTTCTTGAGAGCAGTTGCAATGTAGCAGATAATACCAGTGAAATGTTACTCAGAATATTGTTTCCATGTTGTTGCTTAAAATAAAGAAATGGCCCAGGTTTGCACACAACATTAAACCATGGTTTTGTGCTCCATGCATGAGCAAGAAGACCCTGAACAACACTGCTCTCCCATTTCTTCCTTCCATGCAGCTGGGAGTCCTTGGCAGCGGTTAAATTTTGCTTTCCACTGATCACAGCTTATCATTGCGAATGACCTAGAGATTGTGATTTGTAACAAATTCTGCTAAGTTTAATCAAGCCAGCTGCAGAAACAACAGTTTGAAGCTTGTGGCCCTCCAGATGTTAATGGACTCCTGCTGCCTTCAGTCAGCTTTGCAGTCATTTGATATCTACCATCAATCTTGGCTGGTTGCTTGGTCTGAAAATAAATGGCCATAACGGCTTGCCTGAGCTTAGGAAAAGCAAAGTTAAACAAATAAGCTCTATGATCCAAAACTACCTGAAAAACCTGAACTTAAAATTATTTCTTAATCAGACACTGTATTTTGTTAATATGCAGTTTTGCCATTGATATTTGTACAGTGGTACCTCAGGTTAAGAAATTAATTCGTTCTGGAGGTCCGTTCTTAACCTGAAACTGTTCTTAACCTGAGGTACCACTTTAGCTAATGGGGCCTCCCGCTGCTGCTGCGCCCCCAGAGCACGATTTTTGTTCTCATCCTGAAGCAAAGTTCTTAACCCGAGGTACTATTTCTGGGTTAGCGGAGTCTGTAACCTGAAGCGTATGTAACCTGAGTTACCACTGTATAGGAAAATGGTGCACATGCTGTCCCCGTATAAGATCACAGATTTTTCTTTTGGTGCATTTATATGTGGAGAGAAGCAATGTCCAATTGGAAATAGCATCTACATACAATATGGATACACACCCTTGAAAAAGAACTCAGTAACCAAGTGAAAAAAATCAGCTGAAAATAAATCCCCTAGAATGTAAACTGACCCCATAAATAACTTTTGTTTAATTGTCTTGCTTTTACAATGTAAAGCCATACAACTGAGACAAATGTGTTTAACATGTTTCACATAGTGAGTTAAGCCTAACTGTTCTTAAGCTATAAAGTTTGAAATGCATGCAGTGATCCTCATTTTATAGTATAATTAACTCTTGGTTAAGGGGCCTCAGTGTGAGCTGTTAAACGTATATTAACATAGCTTTAACTACATTTGTGTTTCTCTTATTCAGGGTGATCTAGATCCTTTGGCAACTGTCAAATCACTAACATATCTGAGGTATGAGATAATTCACCTTTGTGATCAAATATTATAATATGCCTTCCTTACCAAACGTCTGTCCTATAAATTAAGGTTGGCAACATGATCTGCCAATTTTTTTCCCCTGAAGCCTTCAACACTTAATAGAACTAAGAGGGTTTGCTTTGTTTTCCAAAAGCTCTCTAGGGATTTCCGAGTGTGGCGTTGTGGTAAGAATTCACCTCTACACCCCCACTGTTTGTTACCCAGGTGAGGGACCACCTTTTAAATGAACCACAGAACCAAGGAAACTGATTCAAGTCCAGCATCCAGATTTAGGGACTCAGCGTTTTTCTTTATTTTATGTATCTATTGCAATAGAGCTCAACCCAAAGTGCCAGTTGAGAGGGTTTGCTCCGAGGCACTTCAGAGCAAAAGCTTATATAGTAGTTCAAACGCAGCAAACGAAGAATCATAAAACATCTTCACATACGTCAGGAAAGGTTACAGGTCATGAAACAGAAAAAAATGTATGGCCTTTTCCTGCTTTCCACTCCCCCTGCTGTCGCCTTGTGGTTGACCAGCAGTGCCGAGACCTTTTGCCCATTTTGGGTATTGGATGTCCCACATTGCCCTGGCAGCCTAGTCTATTATCATTCTTTGCTGACATTTCTCCATCTATCTTTCAGGAAGCTTCCAAGGATTTTTGATTAAGACTCTGGTACTAACTCATGTGAAAACATCCTGCCATTTGTGCTGCTTTCAAGGTCAGATAAGGAGAGACGGAATGCAGCGTAGGCGGGAGAGTCTCACAAATGAGAACACACAAAACTCAAGCCTAACACATTCTGTCTAACAGTTAAATGCAAAGAAAGTGAAACGCTGAAACATTATTAAAATAATAAAAATGTACACCTGGGGTCTTTAGATGTGAATTCTTACCACAGAGTGATGCTTCTTCACAAGAGGAGAGTATAATAAAAGTATGATGAGATAAATAATTATATATTGAAGAGATCCCTGTTTATTTTATGTAATTAACATTTGCATGGTTCATTTTTTAACATTTTGCTGAGGCTTTTTCAGAATGAAATGAAAATATTATGCTTCATATAGTTATCAGATAATATTTTGATTCATAGATGGCACTGGATAGCATAGGTCTTTGAAAGAAGTGTCACGTCTTCCTGTCTCTGTTTGTAATGTTTGCATAAACTTTTATGTTCATGAGCATCACAAACAGATATACATTAACACGTAGCAGATTAGTAGGTCCTGCCTCCAATAAAATTAAATTTGAGAGCAGTTCTGACATCAGTAACCCACTAACGGTGACAGCAATCAAAGCAATCTTATTCTTCATCAAATAGTGTAATCAGTTTACTTTTGGTTATTAATCTCCCTTTAATTAGTCAAGCAACTCTGCTTTTTACCTCGGTCCTCAAAGTGGCTGGTGGACCAAAGCATGGTTAAGAGGTTGGCAGGACTAGGGTCTTGCCATTTGGTCTGGCCTCTTAAAAATAATTATTCCCAACATTGGTAAGAACCTGGGAGATGAAGGGGACACTTGGCAATAGGGAATGTTGGGCCAAAACATTCCTCTTCAGCAGTGCCTTTGTTTGAACTGTGTAAATATGTTTCTCCTTTTCCTCCCTTCAGTATTTTAAGGAATCCAGTGACAAATAAGAAGCATTATAGGTTGTATGTCATCTTCAAGGTCCCACAAGTCAGAGTCCTGGATTTCCAAAAAGTGAAATTAAAAGTAAGTGTTTTGGCAATTGTGAAGAATTTGTCTTTTGAGAAGCTATGCATTTAAATGTTTACTACTTGAGTTTTCTTTTCGTGCCTATAGTATAACATAATTTTCTCATTATAACGCATTTTCAGACTGTGACATTTGTTTATGGCTACGGCTCTGCAAATGTAATTCTGAATGCCTTTCTCATGACCATACAGATATCATGAAAACACATTTATGAATCTGCAGTCATAAGCCTGGAAGCTTTTTTATTTGGAACTGTATTTTAGATTTGAATCATTATTAACATAAATACAGGATTGCCTTCTCCTCACCAATCAGCAAATGTTAGCCTAAATGAAAGCTTGAAGCAGTTTTCAGACGATAAACATGCTGAAGCATTTTAGTCTGTATCTTATTGTGTGTTCCATTTAATTGAAATAGTTTCTGTGAAGGTAATTCCTAGAAATGGGGGGTGTCTGTTCCCTGCCCGCAGCTGTGGCTGGAGGAAAGAAAGCAGAGTCTTATCAAATATGCTTTGAGATTAAACGTTAGTTTCTTGTGTAACAAATAAACTCTAGTTTGCCTGCTGGCTGTGACTTCAATCAACTTCATACTGTTTTTGAAGTGAAATTAATGGACAGGAACTATTGCGTGGTGGGGAATATCTCAGTGGCCTCCCTTGCCATCTGAGCTAAATGGAAAATAGATCTTTCTTGTGAAGGGTTATAGGTTTCACTGGGGCCAACTTTTAAGGCTTCATCTTGATGCCGCCTTGTTTTTTCAAGAATTGCACCTCCCCGTGCCATTTCTTTTTGGGAGACAGGAGCTATGCACCGTATACATGCTTCTATTGAATGTTGCATTAACTCTGTGTGTGTGGTATCGCTGTAGGAGCGTCAGGAGGCAGAGAAAATGTTCAAGGGCAAGCGGGGTGCACAGCTTGCAAAGGATATTGCCAGGAGAGCAAAAACGTAAGATACAGATAACCACTTTAAACTGGCAGTCTCCTTCAGAAACACCACAGCCAGTTTGTAAATACTCTTGGGCTGTAAGAAAATTGAGTAGTCGGTGCGCTAGTTAGCACCAAAATTGCATTGTTGATGAATGGCAATCATTGCTTTTTTCTCTCGACAAGTACATTACGAACCCTGACAGTTTTAACATCCAAGCTAGCAGCTTGAACAACACATCCGATTGATATTTTTTTCATAAAAGGCTCTAAAAAGGGTGGGATGTGGGAAGGTCACTCTGCTGGTGTTTCTGAAGGAGCTATTACTTGATTGTATCAGTTTGTTAACAAAGATAAGATACTACACCTGATTGAAATTGGTGCTTCTGGAGACTTCTCTTTGGAAGCTTGAGAAGCATGACAATAACTCTTTGACTTTAACAAGGCGTCTTTTTTCCTTCTGAAGTTTCAACCCAGGTGCTGGCTTGCCAAGTGACAAAAAGAAGGTGGGCCCCTCCCCAGGAGATGTGGAGGCTATTAAGGTAATGTTTTTTCAGACTTGTACAGGGAGGAATCTACCAAGAAAAACATTCACTGTCATTTACTTCCAGAAGATAGATCTATGTGTGTATTGAGTGTGCCACATTGCTTTGTTTTTCAGGTACTGACATAGTTTGCGTAGCTTTCCTTTGCAAATAAAGAGTTCAGATTTTGTAAACATACTATAACTGTCTTGCTCCTTATTGCAAAAATTCAAGTTTCTAAGTGGCCAGATCAACACAGTCTGATAGCTAGGGGTAGATATCAGTAGGTTAAAAATGTATTTGTCTAAGGAGGAACAGCTAAAATGTAATAGGTAATAAAATGTCACCCTCTAGCTGGAATTGAATTGAACTCTTCTTGACATGCTGAATCGTTTTCAGAGCCAGTATGGTGTAGGGGTTAAGAGTGGTAGATTCGTAATCTGGGGAACCTCCACATGCAGCTGCTGGGTGACCTTGGGCCAGTCACACTTCTTTGAAGTCTCTCAGCCCCACTTACCTCACAGAGTGTGTGTTGTGGGGGAGGAAGGGAAAGGAGAATGTTAGCCGCTTTGAGACTCCTTCGGGTAGTGATAAAGCGGGATATCAAATCCAAACTCCTCCTCTTCTTCCTTGGTGTTCAGACCAGTCTTGTTAGCACTGTTGTAATAGGCACAGTTCAATTGTTGTGAAACAGGCATTGAATTTAATGTTAACAGTGTTGCATAAGTGACCTTTGATTTTTTTCCCTTTAAGAATGCCATTGCTAATGCCACAACACTTGCTGAAGTAGAGAGGCTGAAGGGTCTGTTGCAGGCTGGTCAGATACCTGGCAGAGATCGTAAAGCAGGTGAGGAATATCTTTGGAACCCTTATTCTTGCAGGACATTTTGAACAGAGGTTGAACTGCCCCTTTTCTGTCGCTTTCTTCCTCTCCGCGCAGGGGAGTTGGCCCTTGCCAGAAGTCAATAACAGCAACACACCCACCCACCCCTGCCACCAGCCAAACAATACCCCAGCCCAAGAATCTGTTTAGCAGCCTTGGCTTTTGTAGCTGGAGTCAATCATAGCCCTGCCCTCCCAGGCCAGGTGGGAAAAGGCCTGCCAGGCAGGGAGCAGGTCTTCCAGGACTCACAGCCAAGATGGTATAAGGCAGCTTCTGATTTTTAGACAGACGTTTTAAGAAAGCTAGGATTTTCCATAGCCTAGAAAAGGCCACTATGCAAAATTAAGTATTTCTTGGCAGCAGTAGTTAGTAGAATAGCCATTATTGCAGCTTGAGGAAGCAAACAAGTTAAGAACCTGCAAATTCACTTAATGCTAGTGAGCTAAATTTGAAGCATCAAAAGCCCATCTTTGGAATACTTCCATAGAATAAAAAAGCAGACCTGTACAGTCACTCCTTATCATCAGCTTCACATTTGTGGTGGAGGGAATGATTAAAATATTAAGAAATTGTGCTCTTTTCTTTAGGCCCTATGGATGAGGCTGAAGAAGAGATGGAGGAAGATTCAATTGCCAATGGATCCTAAAATGCATTTTTCTGCATCTGGGAAGTCTGCAGAATACTCTGTACCATTGTCTGTCAAAGCCTTTTGATTGATTGCTGAAGTGGAATTATTATTTTTTGTAGTTTTTGTTCAGAATCACTCTTGTTAATTTTTTATACTGTACATTTTGAAGTAAAATTAAAACTTTTCCTAAATGCAGCATAACATTTGGTGCAAACAGTTGATTTTAAAATAATGCAGCTTTATGTTCCGTGTACCACCGTCCCACCTCTAAGTGCATGTGTTGGTGCCATTACATCTAAAGTTGGTGCCATTACATCTAAAGTTTCAAGCCAGAGTTTTCACTTGCCCTCCATACCAGGAGGTTACATGTGAACTATTGTTCATTTAAAAACTTTCCTTTTGGAGAGATGCAGTTCACTTGCAGAGAGCCATGGCCACATGGTTTCTTGTTTGTTCCAGAAATCACAGAGAGGAAAGGGTTGGAAGAGAGGCCTCTAAGATACAGTTACCAGATTTTTTCAATGAATCTGGGGACACTTTTTTTTTTTGGAAGCTGAGTAGCAACAGGGAGTCAGTAGTGGGGATCGTGAGGCAAAAGACCCTGGGCCCAAGCAAACATTCATATTGTATAAAGGTGCAAAGCCCTTGTTTTCCACCTTGTGAAACATAAATGCACAGAGTTTTTTAAAAACAGGGCAACAGCATGCCGCACGTCCGTGACTCCTGAGCTTCCCCCGATCTGCCCCCCCTCCTCCTTTGTTTTGACTGATCGGGAGGAGTCACAGGTGGGTGGCTGTTGCCCAGTTTTTTTATTTAAAACTGCGCATTTATGTATCACAGGGTTCAAAAGAGGGCTTTGCACCTTGCCTGGCAGAGAAACCACGCACCTTGCGCCCCTCCTGGGCAACGCCCGCCCACCCGTGACTCCCAAGCCTCCCCTGATCTGTCAAAACAAAGGGGGCAGGAGATCTGTACCACCAGACATCCCTGGTTCCCCTTCGGCAGTGACAGCGGCAGCAAGCAGCTCCTGAACCAGCCAGAGCCAACTGCGCTACCAGGCTGGCTCCGGGCTACTGAGGCTGCCACTGCCACATTTCCAGGGGACAGATTTGCAAATCCGGGGACGACTGGTAACCCTACTCTAAGAGCCTGCTAAGCTACACCCACACTGGCAACTTCAGCTCAGGGCTCAGGCTAGCCCTTTCATGCACACAAGTGTGAATCAATAACTATACTACAGCAGTTATTACCTCAGAGAAGGTAAGGTTGACCCCTATTTTGACACAAATGTCAGCCAGAACGTCCGCATTGCTTCTGTTACGTTCCTTGGTGAGTGTTGGATGTCTCACACCTTATAATAATCCACCCCCATCATTCAGCCCGAACACTCTTTTTTGTGGAGGTCCAGATTCCCTTAGGGGGTGTTTTGTGGGAGGTACGTTTTGTTGGTGGACAGGGCTGTAGCTTGTGGTAAGTGGAGCCAGAGCTAAAAGTGGGCAGGGTTTTATGTTACTTCCTCTGCACCCGGGAAGCTGCCTGGGGAGAGACAGATCATTCTCAGTGGAATTCTGAATTGTGCCTTCTCCATTTGCCCCCACCCCATGTGAAATCAAGTCAGTGGCTGCAGTTTCCCCATTTTTAGTGTCTAAGGGCCTGCCGCTGCCACCCTTGTTTATTAGCAAATGCTCTGGGTATGAGCGCACTAACATTGCAAGTATCTCTTCTTTACTTGCTGCAGGAGGGGCCAGTTCTTATTGATGGGACTCCCTCAACCATTAGATCTCTGGGCTTCTTGTGGCTTGACCTAGCTGCTTCTGTCCTGTCTGGGATGGGGCTATGAACCACACACGAAACCTTCCATCTCTTGCTTCTGTGTAGTAACACAGCCAGGGCCAAAGCCTAGAGCCATGTAGCCACTCTACACCCACCCATCCTGTGATCACCCAAAGAGTGGCAGGTGATGGGAGGCACTGGCAAACAGATCCTGCATCAGTATCTGGATCAGGCTCACGCCAGGCCCCACAAAATTTGCCATTGGTTGCCACAGTATCCCCCCCCCAAAGGATTCCACACGAAGACGCTTATGTCCCTGTGGAGATGGCAATACTGAATTGGTACATGCCCTTCTAGCTTGCACTCTTTATAAAGACTTGAGGAATGAGATTATCACCCCTATTTTATTGTCTATTCCGGGTCGCCCAACCACTGCCAGTGTCCTTTCTCTTGGCAGATCAAGATGAGCAAGTGACAGCAAAGGTTGCAAGGTTTTTAGTTAGTGCACTCAGAATAAGATCCACTACAGTGGACGCTCGGGTTGCGAACGTGATCCATGCGGGAGGCATGTTCGCAACCCGCAGCGCGGCACCTGCGTGCACACGGGTTGCAATTTGGTGCTTCTGTGCATGCACAAAGCGTGATTTAGCACTTCTGCGCATGCGCGGCCACTGAAACCCGGAAGTGACCCTTTCTGGTACTTCTGGGTTTCGGCGCATCCGTAACCCCAAAAAAACCCGCAACCTGAAGCGCCTGTAACCTGAGGTATGACTGTATTTGACTATTGATTCAGAACCCTAAAATGTATTTGTGGCGATCACACAGGCTCCCCGGACGTTTGATCCCTGTGCCACCACTGTGCTCGCTTCCCCGCTGCTACCAACCCGTTACTCTCGGGTACACACTGAGTCCAGACAGTTAAAATTAAACCAAATAAGTTTATTTTATAAGCATTTACAAGTTTATGATTTCTCAGATAATTTTCTTGTCAGTTTCTTAACCTTAGTTTCTTTACCGGCCTATACCTTCCGAATACCGTCTGACTGATTATCTCAACTGTTTGTCTGACTCCTCTTAACAGATTCACTCACATCAGACTAGCCCAACCCACAGACTTATCCTCCCTCTCTCTTCTCTAACTCCAGACTGACTTCTTAACAACTCGAACTTGAACTCGAACTCCTCCCCTTGGGTTCCTATAGGTTAGGCATTTTACAATTAGTTAACCCTTTCCTTATGAACCCAGTATGATGTCACACACCTAGGAGGGCAAACGCCACAGTATTTTATATAATTGACTTTTTATTTCTATTCTTTGTATATTGTATTTTTTATTGCTATGGCCGATGGCTGATGCAAATAAAGATCTCATTCATTCATTCTCTGCTCCTGCCTTTGGGCTTCACAGAAGCATCTTATGGACTAGATAGGTCTTTGGCCTGATCCAGCAGGGCTTTTCTCATGTTCTTGTATCATGGTAATATTTTTATTTTAAAAACATATTTGTTTCTACAAACAAAATGTGCATGTTCCCAGGTAAGTGTGTTTAGCACCAGACTTGTAGCGCCAAAAATTCATGGACCCGTGAAGGTGCTATGATTTCAGGTCTTGTTTTTTTGTTTTTCAGTTTCTGTGTGCTTTTTCATAGTATTGTTTTCTTTTCAAAAGGGTTGGCAAACTTTTTATTTTGTCGTAAGACATCAGGAATGTAGAAGCAGTTGCACAGCATGGAATAATAGAGGTCTGCTAATTGCATACTTTTGCAACTGAAGTAATACCTAATTAGGGATTGTTTTTGATTTTTAAAGAAATCCTTCTCCTCTGCCAAAAAAAGGCTTCCAGGGCAACTTACAAATCACTAAAAAGAAAGTTTTTATCTCTTAATGACCTCAGACATACCATCTGAAAGAGACAACACAAAATGAAAATGGTTTGCAGAATAGAGGAGAAAATAACCAAATACCCTTAGTTTTCACATGCTTTTTATCAGAAAAAATACAAAACGGAAAGGCACTGGTGAAAAGCAACAGTAATATAACTGCTGAGTTGGAAAAGAACCACAAGGGTCATCTAGTCCAACCCCCTGCAATGCAGAAATATTTTGCCCAGCATGGGTCTCCTTGACAGATTAGGAGTCTCGTGCTCTACTGACCGAGCTACGTCAGTAGACAAACTGTTTGGCAGATTACACAGCTCTCAGAGAATCAACAGTCCAGGCATCTGTTGCTCCAGTTCTAGCATGCAGTTGAGGCTGAAGTTGCAACCACAGCGGTAGAGCTTGCGCAGCCTGCCCAAGCCCCGTACGATATAACCCAGACTTGCGTCTCCCAGAGTCTCGCAGCAGGTAATGTTCAAGGTTGAAAGGGGCAAACATCCCCTTGCCAGGTGCCCAATTCCCTTGTCGGTGATATTGCAGTAGCTTACTTCGAGGATGTTCAGGCTGCTCATGCGCGACAGGAACAGCAGCCCCTCGTCCCTGATCTTCTCACAGCAGCAGAGTTTGAGGTGGCGCAAGCCGGAGAGGCCCTGGGCCAGATACCGACAGGTGAGATTGGTGAGCCGCTCGCATTCCTCAAGGTCAAGCACCTCCAGCTGCAGGCAGCCGCGGCTGGTGATGCCCGCAAGGTGCCCAATGCCCACGTCGCTGATTCTCTGGCAGAAGCTCAGGTTGAGGCTCTTCAGCCTGCTCAGGAGCGACATGGACAGCAGAGCCCCATCCCCGATATTCCCACAGAAGCGGAGGCTGAGGTGGACCAGGCGGGGGAGGCCCTGGGTCACGTAGCGGACGGCATGATCGCTGAGCTGGCCGCAGCCCGCCAGGTCGAGTTCCTCCAACTGCAGGCAGCCGTCGGCAGTGATGCCCGCGAGGTGCCCAACGCCCACGTCGGTGATTCTCTGGCAGAAGCTGAGGTTGAGGGTTCTCAGCCTAGTCAGGCGCGACAGGGGCACCAAAGCCTCATCTCTGATGCCCCCACAGAAGCGGACGCTGAGGTAGCGCAGGCGGGGGAGGCCCTGGGCCACATGGTGGAGGGCAACATCGCTGAGTCTGTCGCAGTTCTCTAGGCTGAGGCACTCCAGCTGCAGGCAGCCCCTTGCCGTGATGCCCGCCAAGTGCCCTACGCCCGCATTGGTGACCAGGTTGCAGTGGTCCAGGCTGAGCTTCTTCAGGTGCAGCAGCCTGTCGCTGAGGATCAGGAGGCCCGCGTCACTCACATGCCTGCACCCGAACAGCACCAGCTCCTCCAGGCCTTTCAGATGCTTGCCAATCTGCGCCAGGCTCCTCTTGGTGACGGATGGGCAGCCGGTCATGTTCAGCGCCCGCAGGGAGGGCAGCCCGGCCCGCAAAGCCCGGCACAGCTCGCTGTAGGTTTCGGGGGTGCAGGTTGCGTGGCTGACGAAGCCCATGGTGACACAGGGCGTCATCACGATCCGCACCCGACGGATGCCCCAGGCTGCCATGTTGGCCAACATCGACGGGTCGTTGCGGAGATGGCACAGGGACACGGGGGCCTCCGAACGCCACCACAAGATCTGGTAGGAAGCGGCTTGCCAGTCGCGGCACACCTGCGACACCTGGACCTGGTCTTCGTCGTCCAGGTACTCGAAGATCTTGATCAGCAGCTCCGGAGGCAGGAGAGAGATGGGCGGCGGCGGCGGCGGCTCCTGCTCGGAACCGCTGCTGCTGCTGCCGCCGTCATCGTCCTCGGGTGGGGGCGCCTTTCGCTTCCTCCCGCCGGGACCCATTGCCTGCGGAGCCCGGCTGTAGACCAGCAAACTTCGCCTTGCGTCTGCTTAGCCGCCCGGCGCTGCTCGAGACTAGCTGCTTGCTGGACCCGTCCTCCGCTACTTGTGCCCGAAGCCCAGCCCAGCGATGGGGCGGGTGAAGCCAGAGCCCCCGCCCCTTCCAGGATCATTCTAAAGTCATGTCTTGCTTCCATGGGCGTAGCCAAGGAAACGGGGAGCAGGGGGCAGGTGCCCCCCCAAATCAAATAAATCAATAAAAATACTTAACTGAGGTTCTGTCATGAAACTTGCCTCCCCCATAAATCCTGGCTACGCCCGTGCTTCCTCCCCCAAAATCTTAGGAGCCAGCTCCTAGGGGCCGAGGTCCCCCCCTATAAAATATTTGAGGGGGCCGCCCCCCAAAGTTGATAGGTATTGCCATTCAAATAGGGTGTGCCGTGTCATGTGACCGCTTATGCGGTGTGGGCTTGCCTGCTTCCACTCCCCCCCCCCCAATATTTCTTTCAAGTTGGCCCCCTTGCCCAACATGCTACCCTCCAGGTGCTGAACTACAATTCCCGCGAGCGGCTAACTAATAATCATGGGAGTTCAAAGCTTTCAGGGGGCGCCAGGTTGGCGAAGGCCGGCCTGGATTGACCCGGCTGCGCCCCTGCTTCGCAGAATTTGGGAGGGTTGAAGGTTTTTTTTTAAAGAAAAAATACAATCAAGTGCTATTTCAGTTTTATGCAGTAAGTATGTCGCAAACATACTTCCCAGTAGTGATGTATGGAAGTGAGAGCTGGACCATAAAGAAGGCTGATCGTCGAAGAATTGATGCTTTTGAATTATGGTGCTGGAGGAGACTCTTGAGAGTCCCATGGACTGCAAGAAGATCAAACCTATCCATTCTGAAGGAAATCAGCCCTGAGTGCTCACTGGAAGGACAGATCCTGAGGCTCCAATACTTTGGCCACCTCATGAGAAGACTCCCTGGGAAAGACCCTGATGTTGGGAAAGATGGAGGGCACAAGGAGAAGGGGACGACAGAGGATGAGATGGCTGGACAGTGTTCTCGAAGCTACCAGCATGAGTTTGACCAAACTGCAGGAGGCAGTGGAAGAGAGGAGTGCCTGGCGTGCTCTGGTCCATGGGGTCACGAAGAGTCGGACAAGACTAAACAACAACAACATGTCGCAAGGGCCGCAGCCAGAGTTTTTGCAAAGGCTTTGTGCTGCTTTCCGTGCAGGTCTCCTCTGGAGTAAGCCCCGCTCCCTGCCATAGACCTTATTCCCTAGCAAAGCGCGCCGCGCGACGGCTGCCTTCGCTTTCAAAACTTTGCCCCGTCATCTTAACTTTCGCTCCTCCCCCTTCTCCGGATTGGCTGTAGCTCCTCCCTCCTGTCGCCTCCACTTTCCTCGAGGAACACCGTTTTCCCCCTCCTGTCTCTTCCTGATTGGCTTAAGCTTCTCCACGCCCTCATTGGCTCGGAACTGGAGTTCTGAGCTGCGGTTTTTTTCATTGGACAGTTAACGAAAGGGGCGTGGTGATTACGGCTAACAGGACCCGGATGTTGCCGCGGAGGAGGGTCAGTTGCAGTTCCGGGTCTTCTGCGAGATGGATTTGGGGGCAGCGCAAGAGGGGAATCCGCCCCTGGAGCGGGAAGGGGTCCAGTTCCTTCAGCAGACAGGTGAGGGGGTCTCTGGGGGAAAGGGGATTAGCATATGGCTTTCTTGAGGCGGAGGGGCCAGGAAGCGGCCCTTGAAGAGCCTCCATTTTCAGGAATAGCCTACCTTAAAGCTGTCAGGTGCTGTCTGGGGGCAAAGTAGAGGGCTCGTCGTTGTTTATCGGTGTTAAATCGCCTGCCTGTCGATCTGTAGAGGAGCAGCTGCGTTTTGTGGCACCTTTTCAAAAGGCAGGTGAATTTACAGCTCTTCTCAAGGGCCTAATCTCGCAATCTGTCACAGGGGGAGGTCTGCAGCTGTCAGTGGCAGAGCCTCTGCTTTGCGTGCAGAAGGTGTCCCGCCATCTCCAAAGCAAGGTTGTGAGAGAATTCCTGTCTGAAATCCCAGCGCTGTGAACAGAGGTCTGGATGGGCCAACAATGGTCTGACTTTTTGTAAGGCAGCTTCCTAAAGCCTATGTCGTGATAAAGAAAAACTGGTTTGCTGGCTGGCTTGCTATAGTGTTCTAAGCGCTCCGTGGAGGTTTGCAAAGGTTTGCAATTGGATAGATATGATACAGGAGGGGAAAGGAATGGAGAGAGAGGAGGGAAGCGAGAGAATGCAGGTACAAGTAGAGCAGGCACCCCCAACCTTCAGCCCTCCAGATGTTTTGGACTAGAATTCCCATCATCCCTGACCACTGGTCCTGTTAGCTAGGGATCCTGGGAGTTGTAGGCCAAAACATCTGGAGGGCCGCAGGTTGGGGATGCCTGAAGTAGAGCAATGCTAATTCCTAATCCTGTGGGTTAGGATGTGGCAGAAGTCTCCATTGCACCAGCTGGAATCATGGGCAAGCAATATGGCAACCTCCAATATGGATGGCTCTGCTGTGCTAGCTTGGATGTAACGCTGCAAAAAGCGCCAAAGTTGTTGCCGCCGCCAGTTCCTCCAAATGCAGCAATGCCTCCACCATCTCATTTATCCAAATCCTCACTCAGCCATGAAGCTCACCTAGGGCCAGACAGTGCCTCTCAGCATAACCTACCTCACAGGGTTGTTGTAGAGTTTAAATGTGGAGGGGGAGAACCATGTATGCCACCTCGATACATGCAGTATCAAGCAACCTGTAGGTTCTTCCGCCTCTGTTTTTTTATTTTTGGTGTACTAAGTATTTGTTTAGTTTATATCTTTGGTTAATGGGATTTTGAGTTCCCAGGAAATCTCCCATCCAGGCTCAGACGAGACCTAGACAAAAGTGCCACATCATGTACTGTGTGTCACATGTACTGTGTAATATGGCATTGTACCTATGGCCTATGTTTCAGCCAAGGGTGGCTCTCAAAGTGACATGCAGCAATCTACAAATGGCACCTTACAGTGGCTACGATTTGTTATGTTTATAATTTATTTGCTTTGTTCATATTAAGGGCTGGAGCCAACACTGGGCATGTGGCGTTCTGCTCATGCAGTGGGACTTCCCCTTCCTCTCCTCTCCCTGCATACTTTCAAAATCTGCTCCAGACATTCCACCATCTCTCTGGGGTAGATTTTGGGGTAGGGAGCAGGGGTTACAGAGGAGAGCAGGGGAAAGTTCCCTTGCACAAGTGGAAGTCTGCTGCGCTAGCAGAACAGAGCTTTGTATCATGCTTTGTATAGCTGTCTAAAATAAGTGACCAGTTTTATTATTTTCCCTGCCTCTCGGATGAGATTTTTGCCTTTAATCTGTTTGATAACTTGCAACTGCATTCAGGTGTTCTAGATCGCTCACATGATAAAGGAGAGCAGGCTAGATTCACCCCACCTTCTACACGTCAGAGAAAACTTTCAGCCTCCACGGGCCTTTTGTACTCATGAGGGAACGCTGTGCATTTTAGACTCCTGGTTTTCTAGCAAACTAAATGTTTCTTGTGGGGGGAACATGCAGAGCAGGCTCCTCACTTCAGAAGCTATCTCTCCAGTTTGTGGATTAGGTGTGTGGAACTAGCATGCTTTTCATCCTCGTTCTAGACTAATTTCCAGCTGCTGTTTTTCTTTCTCACCACCCTCCTTTTTTTGAGTCCCAGTGAGTAGGGAGTTCATGGTTTTGTGTTTTTTGTGTTTATTAATGTTATGTTATGACACTTTGTAGCCAAGATGGCTGGAATTCGTGTTTAAAAAGTAGGATAAAAATGTTGAAAGCAAAATAATTTATTTCATTTATGAATTTGCTTCCTATGAAGCATTTCAAAGTGACTTCACAATACCGTAAAATTATATTCAAAACTATTGCATATCTAAAAATGGGGTGTATCCAATGTAGCACTAAGTGAAAGTCACTTAGTGTAGTTCCACTGGTGAAACATTGTTGCACAAAAGAATACAGGAGTAGATGACTGCTAAATATGTTGCACAATAGCTTGTGCTGTCTGTTCTGCAGCATTAAAACTTACCTGTTCTCTAATACAAGAGGACCTGCACTACAGACAATGTTGGTTGCAGCTCAGTTAAAACTAGTGCATGTATAAGAATCTTGATTTATAAGGCTATTTTGGAAGAGGAAACAGACACAAAAAACTATAGAGATGTCACTTTTCTAATATGTAACAAGAGAAAATATGTAACAAGAGAAAGCTAATATGTAACAAGAGAAAGCTCCAATGGGTAAGTACCACCACATAATGTGTTGAATAGACCTACTGATAAGATGGTATCTGCAAGTTGCCCTCTCCTGCAGAACGCAGTGATCAGTTGGGTATTGAATGTTTGAAGCTATCTTTAAGTTATACTGCGATTGAGTCAGTCAGGAATTTATTAAAGTCACCTGAGCAGGAGGCAAACTAGAAATTGCACAATGTCACATGAGTGAATGCCTTGGCTGTTTCTGCTCAGGTGTGTGCCACCACCACCCCTCTGAAGCAGATCTTGGTGGTTTGCAGGAGGCTGCAGGCAGAGCTGCCGACTCCTTTCCACCAACTGTATCTGTTCAAATTTCGAACGGGACACTTTGGGTTTTGGCCAAAATTGCAGCCTCAAATCAGTTGTAAAAAATGAGCTGACTTACTTCTGTGTAACAAAATTATTTGTCCCCTTGAGGCAGATGCTTGGAAACTTCTCTAAAGAAGCTCAGGAAACTGTCTCATGAAAGAATATAGTAGGTGTTAATAATAATAATTTTATTAATTAATACCCCGCCCATCTGGCTGGGTTTTTCCAGCTACTCTGGCCGGCTTACAGAATATATAAAACATAATAAAGCATCAAACATTTAAAAAACTTCCCGATGCAGGGAAGTTCTCTAACCCCCAGTAACTACAAGAGTACACAAGAGACTGTGTGCCTCTTGAATGGTTGCTGGACTTCACTTCCCATCCTTATCCAATGGGCATGCTGATGGGGACAGATGAGAGTCCATCAGCATCGTATGGGCATTACGTTGGCTCCTGCTGCCCTTCAGCCAAGCCTAATTTTTGTATCTGTTTGTGTTCTCTTCCAGTGGGCTCACTTTTTGCAGACTATGGGTGGTACATCCTCCTCAGTTCCGTTGCGATCTATCTGCTTATACAAAAGCTCTCGCGAAGCTTTCGAGGCAAGACGCAGCCCCGCTTGGATGCAGCAGCTGTTGGTTTGTATGGGATTGGGAGAGGATGTGTTGTCTTACACTGTTTTGCCATACAGAGTGACTTACACACATGCCATAATACTTCACACAGCTAAATCTATGTGCACAGCCTACGTGTGACACACACGCAGGCCACAGTTTCTCCTCCATATGATATTCGTGAATGAGCTGGGATATAAGGGCTAAGGTATCCTGGACCCTGAACAGCTTGGGACATTTGAATGAATGACATCCCAGCTCATTCACTAAGACCATCCAGAGCAGCACTGTTAGTTGTTCCCATCACAGAGGCCTGATGGACCACAATGAGAAGGCAGGCATCTAGTGTGCCTATTCTCCCCAACCTAACAGCTGATATGCAGGGTAGCACAGCAGCTGTTTTCCTGCGTAGCTTCCGGCCTCCAGCCAGCCCCAGAGCTTCAATTCTAGTTGCAGATATTTTTGGATACAGTATTTTTGGTATGGATTGAAGAGAAAGTGGCAGAGAGGGTGTTTTAATGGTGTTTAAAGGGTGCTTCCCACTTTACACAACTTTGCTTATGCACATGGGGACCCGGAATGTAACCCTGGTGTAAAGTGGGGAGTCACCTGTATCTTCCTGGCACACCTGGGCCTGGGTAGGTGTTTTGCCCCTTCAGCCAGGTGATTCTTTGGAGGGTCCCCAAACCCTCCTTCTGTAGGAAGGGGACCCAGGAGGTTTTCAGAAGTGTGCAGAAGCAATGTCCCTGTTCTCTAGACAGCAGCCGGCATCTGGTCTCCCTCCAAGCTTTGTTAACAAAACAAACATCTGAAAGGGCCAGGAGTGACTTTGCAATTAGTGAATTGTAGATTTCAGTTTGACTATTCAGGTGAACCAGTCAAAATAATGCAGAGGGGGTTAACTAATTATTTCTGGATGGTATTGCGGGGAAAGTTAGCTAAGTTGGGATTGGCTTATATTGGGAACGATTGGATCAATCCATCAACCTCTGGTGGATGATTTAGAAGGGTCCGGCATTGCTTTCACTGTGCATTTTGTGCCAGTATCCATACTCAGCAGGCTTATATCTCAACACAGCTCCTGCCTTGGAATCGTCTTTGGGGTTGAAGGTACACACAGTAGGCAGTAAACACTCATGGACACCATAAAGATTCAGTCAAGTGTAGAGGTTTACTTGACAGGTATAAAAGCATATTGGTGGCAAATATATACAGACATTCACCACTGCCGTGGTCAAGGCATGCTTAGAGCCCAGCAAGAGTCCAAGCCTCTCTGTCTTCTTCTCTCACCGCAAGACGCAAGCAAGAGACACAACAAATTCCACAGAACCATTGTTATCAGTACTTCCTGTCATACTCTGCATGTCCAAAGAACAGTTCCCACGAAAAATGTCCTTGCACAGATAAAATAATCTCAGCTTTATGCTGCTTCTTGAAACTTCTTCTCTGTTTCTGGAAAAAAATGTTTCTCTCTCACACAGACAGAGGATATCCAACAGGATGAAAGTAGCTCGAGCCTCTTTGGACTACTTTGTGATCTCAGCTTTTGATAACTCTTTTCTGTGATTGGTTTAGAACCCGATGCTGTGGTGAGACGACAGGAAGCTCTGCTCGCAGCCCGTCTGCGCATGCAAGAAGAGTTGAATGAGCAAGCAGAAAAATTCAAAGAAAAACAGAAGAAGGTAATGCTGTTCAGGGAATATAAGCACCCTATATTGAGTTGGCCTTTTATGTACTCCTTCCCTCCTGCGGGGAAAAAGAACTGGTGAACTGTTTGAGTGCAGTCTCTCGCTGCCCAGCCAAGCTACTTTAGCTTGCCCAAGAATGAGTGATTCAGGTTATGTGGCCATGGCGAGAACTGCATGCAAAGGCAGTGGCACTGACCACATCCAGCATGGTAGGGCAAAGGCCGTGGACCCCAAGAAGTCCACTAGAGTGGACATCAGGTTTTGAAATTTAGGGGTGGGGGAGGAAATAATTGTAAGTGTCTGGTGCTGAAAGGAAAAACTCCAGGCAGGATCCCTGCAGTGGCCACTGTCTCTGTCCCTCTTCCTCTCTGCCCTGGTGCCTCTGGATCCCACCCTCGAATGTATAGATGCTGCATTGGGGGCCAAAGGCATTTGAGGAAAGTAGATGGTGGCTGGTGATGCTATTCCTTTCAGGGCTAGGGGTGGGGGAAGTTGTGCTGGCCTTGATGAGTGCATCACTCGTGTGCCTGTGGCTGTTTTGAGGAGCCTGTCTCTCCAAATCATGCCCCAGAAAGCTTACTGGGCCTGGTGGCAATCATCCTGGATAACTTGCTCCCTTTCAAGAGCCCAGCCCTGAAAGGAGTAGCACTGCAGTGAATGGCTGCAGTGGCCTCTCCGTGCCATTTGTGCCTGCTCCTTCCTGCTCCTACTGCCCACTTAGCGTTTCTAAGCCTGCTCAAATGAAGGCGGGACAGTCTGGTTTTGCTCGGTACTTTTCCCCTGTAGCCGAGAGAAGGGACACTCTGCCACCAGACTGAGGCTCTTACTGGATTGAGAGTTCTCCTTTGAATGCAACAGCAGGGGAGTTCCCTGTGTCTTTAAAAGATGTTGACTGGTGTTTGTTTTAACTTTTTAAGGTGTATCATTTTATAGACCTTGCATATTAGCTATTCAGCCTGTATCTAGGTAATGCCCTGTGAGGATACTTTCTGGAAAACAAGCTCCACTGCCACAAAAGCAAAACTCTGCATGGCGTCGTCAAACAACTCTGTACCCTCTTAGGTAGCAGATGTTGCAATTAAGCATTGACTCTCTAGGACCTGGTTGCAGATTTTTCTGTTTCTGTCTGCCTAAACCAGGCTTGCACACCTTATGACCCAATCAGCTGTTTGTTGTGGCTTCCCAGGTCCCTTATCATCAAGTCTCAGGCTTGCAGTTGAGAGAGGAGGCTGATCCAAGGTCTGCCATGGCTGGGAAGCTGTGCTTGCTTTATTTAATAAGATTTATATGCAGCATGATCAACTGAAAATAAAACTCTTAAGCACTTTGATAGTATAAAATATTCATCATCATCATCATTTTTATTTATACCCTGCCCTCCCCAGTCAAGGCCAGGCTCAGGGTGACTAACAAGCAATAATAAAAACAAGTTGAATGAATACAACTTAAAAACAAGATTAAAATACAACAATTAAAATATTGAAACATTGAAATATTAAAATGCAGCCTCATCACAGGAGGAGAAAGGAAAAAGAAAAAAGAAAGAGGGGGAGGGAATCAAATTGGCTCCAAGCCAAAGGCCAGGCGGAACAACTCTGTCTTACAGGCCCTGCGGGGCCCTGGTCTCATGAGGCAGAGCGTTCCACCAGGCCGGAGCCAGTGTTGGAAAGGCCCTGGCTCTGGTTGAAGCTAATCTAACTTCCTTAGGGCCCGGGACCACTAGGGTGTTGCTATTTATGGACCTTGAAGCTCTCCGTGGGGCATACCGGGAGAGGCGGTCCCGTAGGTACGAGGGTCCTAGGCTGTGAATACAGTGATGCATCAACAGACATTAAAAACAAGGTGACAATATACATTTATAGAAATGTAGATCAAATCAATAGTATTTAAAAAACAAATATACATGATAAGATTTACATTTATTGAGTAGGATTGCTTAAATAAAAAAGGGTTGGGGTGTTTTTTAGCAGGAATGGAAAACAGTACAGTGAAGATACCGGCCTCTTATCTGTAGGCAGGAAGCTCCAGAGATTAGGTACTGCCACATTTCTTGCAGCTGCAGAATGAATGTTACATGGCGCTGATAAAAGTGCCGATTCTGCAGATCAAAGCAGTTGAGTTGTCACATGATAGACGCACATTCAGTTGGGTGGCTTACCCAAGTTGGTGTAGGTCTGAACTACATTTTGTTATCAGGCTTTTTAAATAGTCTAAAATAAATCTGTTGTTGCTCTTTAGGCTGAAGAAGAGAAGAGAAGGCAGAAGATTGTCATGTGGGAAAGCATGCAGGAAGGCAAAAGTTATAAGGAGACCCTGAAACAGAATCAGGTTGGTTTGGTCTTTTGGGAAGGGAGGGACAAATATACAGGGGTACCTCGATTTTTGAACATAGTCCGTTCTGGAAGACTGTTCGAATTCCAAAACATTTGAAAGCCAAGGCTCAAATGGTGGTTTGCAAATTCAATAGAGAAAATTGAAAATAAACTCAGCGGAAGCCATTTGACATTTACTTCCGGGTTTTCAGCATTCAAAAATCGAAATGTTCGAAAACCTAGGTACCACTGCATTCAAAATTGAGAATGAGCTAAAATTGCTGAATTAACTCTTCCTCTAAACAGCAGGAACCTGAGCCTGGAGCATCTGCAGCGGCTGCTGCCCCAAAACCAAAACCCAACAGGAAACCTTTGCGAGGTGCTGGTAAGTTCCAAGTCTGTTTAACAGCAAACAAGGTTTTGGGTCTCACACTTAGTTCCGTCCTCCTGCCGGGCGCTCCCTGTGACTGGTTCAACACAGTTGCATGCAGCTTAATGGGGAAAGTATCTGCTGATGGGGAGGTCCCGCCTAGGCCTCGCAGTGTTCACAACACATTGGAACAAGTTTTGCTTTGTCATAAGAAGAGCCCTACCACATCAGACCACTGGGCATCTTGTCCAACATACTGTTCTCACAGTGGTCCACTAGATGACCATAGGAAGCAGGGCCTGAGCAAACAGCACTCTCTCCCCCCCACTTACGATTCTCTGCAACTGGTATTCAGAGGCAATGCTCAGCTTAATGGCCTAACTCAGCATCGACCAGTTTCCTGTGCCCTGAATCAGCTTTACCAATGGGAATTGTTGTAGACCATAAGAACATAAACGCACTGCTGGATTTGACCAAAGGCTCAGATGTGCATGTGAAGCCCAGATGCAGGATCTGAGTGCAATAACCTTCTCTCTTGTGATTCTCAACAAGCATTACTGCCTCCAACCATGGAGGTGGAGCATAGCCAGCATGACTAGGAGCCATTGATCGCTTTATTCTCCACAAATTTGTCTAATCCTCTTGGAAACCATCCAAGTTGGCAACCATCACTACATTTTTGGGGAGCAAATTCAATTTTTTAACTACGCACCTTGTAAAGTGCTTTCTTTTGTCTGTCCAGATTTATAGTGCAGAGGGATTATTATTATTATTATTATTATTATTATTATTATTATTATTATTATTACTATTAATTTGTAGACTGACCTTCATCTCATCAACTCATTCCAGGACAGTTTCCAGCATAAAATACAATAAATTCAAGTGCATACCATTGATTAAAAATAACCAATCAATTAATGAGAATACTAATTTAGCCTAAACAGAGCCCCACATGGCTATGCTGTTTTTTAAAAACAACAACCCTACAGTCCTCTTTTTATTGTTTAAATCAGATTACAAAGCAACATATGCAAACATGAAATGAAACGTATAATTTCAAGAACCATTCAAAGTGTTTGAGCCAGTGCTTTCTTGAGTTAATGGAGGATGGAAACCATGCTCTTTGGTTGCAGCGTATTGAATAAACACGAACCAATTCATAGAGAATGTGTCTTCTGTAGTTTGATTACTTCTGGTCCGAATGTGATGGAGTAGTAGTTTCTCCATGAGGGACAGGCTCCAGCTTTGACCATGGCAGTGCTAAAAACAAGTCAGCTTCCAATGTTCTTCCAATGTTCTTCTTGGCAAAAGGTTTTGTCCCATTTTACTCACGATTTCTATGATCCAGTTCACACCAGCACTTTTAATTGGTCAAGCTTTTAATTGGTTGATCTTGCTTAATAAGTAGGACGACATGTAGCAATAGCAAACTATCTTTAGGAGGTTTTCATATACCCAGATTAAAACTAGCACAGATGGGGCGTTGTCCCAAATGTTAACCCATGCAGTGGGAGAGCTCACCTAAATCATGTTCCCAACAAGTCCTTAAACCATCATAAGAGCCAGCATTATTTGATTCCAAGATACAGTATATCCAGGATATTATCCCTTTCTCATGAGCATTTTTTTTTTTTGGCACTATTGAAAGTTTCAAGGGGGAATAATGAGTGTTGACTTGACTCTCACTTCAGTCAGTGTAATAAAATGAATTATTTTATAGGCCTGTAGCCTCAAGTGTTGCTATTTTGTCTGTAATGGCACACCTGTCAATGGAACTGAATTCTTATAAAAATCACACATGATATAAAGGGAGACTTTCCCCCACCCCCTAAATTGTTTAAATCTATTGAAATGGTACAAAAGTGAATGGAACATAGTCGTGCCTTGGATCCCAAATGCCTTGGGACTCTTCTGTTTTGGCTCCCGAACGCCGCAAACCTGGAAGTGAGTGTTCCGGTTTGCGAACGTTCTTTGGAACCTGAACTTCCGACGGGGCTTCCAATTGGCTGCAGGAGCTTCCTGCAGCCAATCAGAAGCTGCACTTTGGTTTCCGAATGTTTTGGAAGTCAAACGGACTTCTGGAACGGATTCCATTTGACTTCTGCGGCACCACTGTAATTGGTTTCAAAAGTGAGGTTAGAGCTAAATGTCTGGACCACATTTTCAAGTCACTCAAGAGACTGTGCTGTAACTCCCTTTCTTTTCCTTGAACAGTCATGCTATGGTTTCTTTCTTGCTCCTCTCTTCTCCCAGGTTACAACCCCCTTTCTGGAGAAGGTGGCGGGACTTGTTCGTGGAGACCAGGGCGCCGCGGGCCTTCCTCAGGTGGATGAGGCTAATTCTGCCGGTGCTGTCCATCGACACCGGCAGGCATTAACTTAACTCCACAACTGTAGCTGTCTGTGGGCTGCTTGGCACAGGGACTTTGGGTGGGGGGCTGTTTTTAGCACTGTAACAGGTGGGATTCAGCTACTGAATCCTGTCTGCAGAAGCCCTGAGCAGGTACTTTTAGTTTGCACATTGGGGCATTCCTCCCTCTCTTCCCTCCTTGTGCCCCTTGAAATTGGCTAGGGGGAGGGGTCAGGAGAACTATAGGAACAGCGCATGGGGGGTGGGGAGATCATTGCATCTGGGAAGCAAAAATGCTTGCGTTGCGTGGAGGAGCGCAACGTTGAATTTCCAAAACATTTTAATGTAGCCAAGCTGCCCAAAATAAATGGTGAGCGTTGACAAAAAGCGATGCTCGCGGGACGGGGCGGACAGTTCCTTTCCTTTCCCAGAGGCCTGGTGGCCATGGCTTTGCACTTTAGTCTGGATGACGGGCTTTTCTTTTGAGACGCCTTTTCTGTGAAATGGGGATGTTGCCCATTCTGCCTTGCAAGAGGGCTTGTGACTTAACTTTCTGCTGAGAGTGGTTTGGACTCTGCTGGAGAAAAGCCTGTTTTAAAGGGCAGCGTGTGATACCCCCCCCCCTTCAAAAGTGAGCTTCAGGCATCAAAACTGGAATTTTCTCAAAGTAGCGGAACAAACTGACACTGGGGAAGTGTGCTGGCAAGTTGGTGCAAGTAATGGTTAGGTAGAACGACACTGCTTTGGGTGTTAGGACCAGGTGGGTTTCCTGCCCACCGTTTCCTAACTGGCTTTTCCACCCAGACTTCCTGCCGGCAAGGTGGTCAGGTAGCATGATTGATGGATTTGTTTTGAGCTTGGCTCTGAGCATCACTGAGGAACCTGTGACTTTCAAGATGCTACTGTCATGCTCCAACCCCCATCAGCCCCCAGCAAAACACCACAAATTCAAATCTTAACATAGTCAAAAGACCTCATAAAGGCACGTTAAAATGTGAAGATCACACAACTTTTAACATACGCCAAATTAGAATATATGGTACTTATATAGACCAAGGACAGGAACAAACCACAAATGAAATTAACAAGAGAGTATTTTATGGGTCTCTTGCAGTTTAAAAGAGATTCAGCACCAGTTTCCATTATTATTCCAGTAACGAGGCCGAATACAATTCAAATATCATTCCTGGGTATTTTTAATAGGATGAGAGTAAATAATCTATTATGATCATCTCTGTCAAAGTTGCATACAAAAGCCCCAAGCATGTGTTAATGTTTCTGTTGCTCCATCTCTCCTATGTAAACAAGGAAAGTATTGTGTGAGAAACACATGAAACCAGCCTTCCCAATCCTGATGCACTCCAGGTTTTCTGACTCCAACTCCCATTCAGCCCCAGCCATCACAGCCAACTGTCAGGGCTGATGGGAGTTGTAGTCCAGCAACATCCAGAGGTCCACAGGTTCCCCAGCCCTGCCTTTCGGAGTTTTCAACGTCCACAGTTATGGATGCCATTGTCCCTGTACCAAGCAGCCTTGAATGATGCAGTCCTTATAAATGGTGAACGTACCACTAATGGCTGCTGAAACTAGACAGCAAGTGGAGAGTTTTTGCCATTTCCTCTTTTTATGTTCTCAGCTTTGTATGACAAATATATATATACTGTAAATAACATTACAACAATTTCTATAGCTTTTTTCTATAGAGAAGTATGTATTCTAGCTTAATAGATGTGTCTCAAGCAAGTAAATTGGTTGTGTGTGGCTTTTTCTGAAGATCTTCCTTCCCCCCCTCCCTCCCCGCTCAAAATATTGTTAATTAATAAATATGATTTATATAGTGCTAGCAGCGTACAGGAGTCTTTGCAGAGAAGCATAAGGGAGGGGAGGAAACATACCCAAAACAAAGCAGGTCTTGCTAAGGGAGCTTAGCTTGCAACCTAAAATTTTGCTGGAGAGGAGGATATTATCTGCATATGTTTGAAATACTTCGGACTCCTTTGACAAAAAGGAGAAATAAAAGAGGCGTGCAAGCAGTGCAGAAATAAAGACTACCATGTAAATAAAACAATTGGAAACGAAACACGAAGCTAGGGCTGTAGTCCTTGTACGTGGAGGAAAGCCAATATGGTACTCTCTTGATGTTGGCTGGATTACTAACTCCTATTAGCCCTAACCATTGGCCTTGAAAGCCAGGGTTGGTGGGTCTTGGAGTCCACAACTTGAGGAGGAAATCATGTTGGTGGCTACTGCTGTACACACTTAACTTGGGAGTAAGCCCCATTGAGTGTTGGCATTATATAGGATTGCCCTGTAAAGTACAGCAGACTAAAACAAGTCGTGGGAAGAACTCACGAGAAACTATCTTCAGCAGCAGTCCCCAAGTCTGCCACGGATGTGATCCTCTCAAAAGCAAGTTACATTCATCTCAATGGAACTTATTCAGAGAATCAGAGAACTGTGGTGTCGGAAGAGACACCAAGGGACACCTAGTCCCAGCCCTCTGCAATGCAGGAATCACAAGTAAAGAATCCCTCATCAATTTTTTAAAAAATTATTTAATCATTTTTTCAATAATAATAACCACAAAAAACACATGCAACAAAAACCGCAACAACACTAATAATTCAATTTAACATTTCATATTTGAGTACTGATATACCTATGACTACACCTTTTTAACAATATTTCCCCACCTCTCATCCCCCTACTTCCCACCACCATCTGCCTTATCGCTTAAAGATTCCTTCCAGATTTCTTTATATTTATCCATTCTTAATTTGCATCAACATGCAATTCGTATGTGGCTAGTCTGCCCATATTGTCAGTCCATGTGCTCCATGGAATCTTTTTGCGGCTCTTCCAATTCATCAGAACAATCATAGAATCATAGAGTTGGAATAGACCACAAGGGCCATCGAGTCCAACCCCCTGCCAAGCAGGAAACACCATCAGAGCACTCCTGACATATGGTTGTCAAGCCTCTGCTTAAAGACCTCCAAAGAAGGAGACTCCACCACACTCCTTGGCAGCAAATTCCACTGTCGAACAGCTCTTACTGTCGGGAAGTTCTTCCTAATGTTTAGGTGGAATCTTCTTTCTTGTAGTTTGGATCCATTGCTCCGTGTCCGCTTCTCTTGAGCAGCAGAAAACAACCTTTCTCCCTCCTCTATATGACATCCTTTTATATATTTGAACATGGCTATCATATCACCCCTTAACCTCCTCTTCTCCAGGCTAAACATGCCCAGCTCCCTTAGCCGTTCCTCATAAGGCATCATAAGGGCCCAGGTGACATGTTTTTTTAAACATGGGGAGGATTTTTTGTGTGTGTGGGATCCTTTTTTATGCCAAGTTACGTATGCCAACTTTTACTCATGCCGCGATCTACAGAAATAAACCAGAGAAAACAAGTTTTTTTGCTTCTAATATGGCACGGTACCTCCATTTTTTGAACCCCTCATCAATGGCCATCCAACCTCTGTTTAAAATCTTCCAAAGAAGGAGAGTCCGTCACCGCCCTGCCTAATATTTACTCTGAATCTCCTTCTTTGTAATTTGAATCCCATCGGTTTGGGTGCTAACCTCTGGAGCTGCAGAACAGTGAGTAGAGGATCGCAGCCCTGCTGTGGCTGTGCAGGCTAACACACATCTCCGTGGGTGAAAACAGTTGCAAAAGGCTCTTACTGCTTATCAAAAAACGTTTCTCAGGCCGAAGCCTTGACCAAAGCTCCTTCCTGGAAGGCGGATTCAATTAACATGGAAAGATTTTTATCCTGCACTTAGCTGCTCTGCAAAGGAGTCTTAATTTATTAAAGTTAGGGCTCAGGTGACATGTTTTTTTAAACATGGGGAGGTTTTTTTTTTTGTGGGATCCTTTTTTATGCCAAGTTACGTATGCCAACTTTTACTCATGCCGCGATCTACAGAAATAAACCAGAGAAAAAGTTTTTGATTTGGTTTAACCCCCCCCCCCCGTTACACCAGTGGTGAGAGCACACTGGAGGCAAAGTTAGCAGAAGTGTGTACACAGCCCAAATGCTTTGAAAAGATTGGGCAAGTCAGCTTAAAGCGGTGGTGGCCAAACTTGACCCTCCAGCTGTTTTGGGACTACAACTCCCATCATCCAGAGCTAGCAGGACCCAGTGGTTAGGGATGATGGGAATTGTAGTCCCAAAACAGCTGGAGGGCCAAGTTTGGCCATCACTGGCTTAAAGGTTTCAGCTGAGCACTTGCTTGTCGCTGGGTCAGTGGTTCCTCCCTTGGGTTGTAGTCAAAAATCAAGAATACACTGGATGGTGTGATCCTGTTAGAATCGCATGGCTGGCAGATGAACAGCATAAGAGTTGAGAGCTGCACTTCCAGGTCCTCTTTAAAAAGCCTGAATTGAGCGACGGTGTGTGAAATGTTGGCCGAGTGCCGTGCAGCTGGAGGGACATTTCCCCTCAAGACTTTGCGAAAGCAAATCACTCCTGGATTTTGGAATGGGAATGGAAAATCTTAGCGGCGCCCAGAGAGGGATCGAGGAGCTGCACGATGAGTAAGGCAAAGTGGGACAAGCTCTGCGCCAGCTTCAGTAAAGCATAAAGTTACTGCTCACCGCAGCCAAGCTGTGGGCTTGCCCTTACTGTAACTGGCTTTATGGGGAGGGCTGCAGCATCTGCTTTGCATGCAGAAGGTCTCGGGTTCAATTCCTGGCAGCTCCCAAGAAGGATGTCCCCTGGAAAGCTCCTGTGTAGATTGTACTGAGCTTACGTGGATGGCCTCAGGATAAGCCAGGGCACGAGAACCAGCTTTTTGGTTCATCTCTGCATTGGCAGGTTTCGGCTTCAGTTGACAGACCCTTGCCAAACCCAAGCACTTGCACAGCCTCACCTGACTCAGACAATAGAGAGAAATAGCCCCAAAACAGCACCATCGGTGTGCAAGGGGGGAGGTAACAGCAGGCTTGCAGGGAGGGGGGGAAGCCAAGTTTTGCAGAGGGACATGTGTGTGTTTTCTTTTGGGTGGGGTCGTGGTGGAGGTGACCCAAAGCAGCTGAATGAAGGCACAGCAGAGTGGAAGTAGAGTGCTGATGGTGGAAGTCTGGTGGCGTGTGTGTGTGTGTAGAATTGGACGGAATGGAACATCCTGAAAGAGGGTATAGCTCACGGGGCTGACCAGATGCACTCCACGCTGCAACAGTTTGTTGAACGTGCCACTTCTTGTTCTGCATTTGGATGATCTCTCTGGGATTCCTGAGGATTCAATGGGGGGGTTAGGGAATATGGCCTTCCATGCCTCTCTACTGCCCCTGGACCTTTGCCCGTGCCACCCCCCTCACTAGCCCTGCTTCACATGCCCAACTGTTTTTCATAGAATTGTAGAGCTGAAAGGGACCCAAGGGTCATCAAGCCCAACCCCCTGCAATGTCTGGCTGCAATGTGTCCCCGAACACTGATCATGCTTCTTGAATGTTGGGATGGAGGATCAAGAGGGCTCTGTGAGTGTCCGTGGAGAAACTAGCCTACTGTACAAAGGTAAAATTTCCTTCTGTCGCTCTTCTCACTTTTCCTTCTGTCCCCTTCCCACGGCTGGAAGGTTGCAAATGTGGCTCTCTGGCTGAAAAAAGGTTGCCCACTTCTGGCTTAATGCAATAAGGCACACATGCACTCTGGGATGGGCTGACTTCAGATATAGAGCAGCAGCAACACACCATCCCCAGGTATCAGAAGTCACTGATTTAGTTTATTTCTCTTGTCTCAAAAAGAGAAACGTCTGTGGTCTTCGCTCTCGGCTCGCATGTGCCTTGCTGTGTTACACCCTCTGGAGGGCAGCATCGGTCTGGATTTTGAATGAGCCGCTCTACACATCTCCACAATGGCTCATCCAAGGATATGATTAATATTTGCCTGACAAGATGAAGTGGGGATGCTTTTAAACATCTGGAAATCTGCAAGGAGCCAGGAGGTGTCTGTGCTGCCCAGGGAGAGAGAAAAAGAGAGTTGTTGGAAATAATTGTAACCCAGACAAATGTTTCTGCTTGCCCAGTTTAGTTTTTCCACGATGACTCTGTTACCTTGAATATGCAAAAGGGGTGTATGCCCCACACCCACCCTGACTGTGTGGTTCTGATGGGCTGGTTGGGGTGCCCACTTGCAAAATGGCAATTCCAGGCTTACTTTGGCTTCAATAACTATGAATTAGCTTCATAACATGGTTCCTTCCAGATACTGTTGAACTTCCAATGCCAGTCAGCTCCATCAGGGATTAATGTATAGGCGTCCAAATACATTTGGAAGACACCATGTTGGCCAACCTGGGACTAGGTGGTCTACAAGATGTCTCAAATTCCATGGTTCTGATCTGTATCCATTACTTAACTGCATACCCACCTACATTTCTTTGATGAAAATAGGGATATCTATCCTATTCAATGATAATAATCATAACAGATAATAGATAATAATTTTATTATTTGCACCCCACTTATCTGATTGGGTTGCCCGAGCCACTCTGTGGCTTCCAACATATATAAAAACATAATAAAACATTAAACATTTAAAAATACAGGGCTGCCTTCAGATGTCTTCTAAAAGTTGTATAGTTACTTATTTCCTTGGCTCGGGGGGGGGGGTTTGCATAACTCCACACCCTCCAACATTCCTTCGATGAAAATAGGGACATCCAAAGGAAAAGTGGGATATTCCGGGATCAAATCAGAAACCGGACGGCTTCTGTAAGTCCAGGACTGTCCCTGGAAAATAGGGAC